TCCGCAGGCGCTGTTCGGTGCCCCTGCCAGCTGCTGCCCCTGGCACTGCTGTGGCAGGAGGCAGGGGTGCTCAAACTGCCTTGCCCTCCACGGGGCCTTCTGCGTCTGCTGCTCCTGGGACGATGTCTCAGACAGTGGCTGCTGCGTGCAGCTCACGCTTCAGGGTGATCAAGCTGGACCATGGTACAGGGGAACCCTACAGGCGAGGCCGATGGACGTGCATGGAGTATTATGACCGGGACTCAGATGGTGGCAGTGTCCTGGGCAGGACTGGAGATTGCATTCGGCACAGCAGCACCTTTGAGCAGGCTGCTCAAGACAGGGACAGTGGCCTTGGTGCCACAGGAGGGTCTGTTGTGGTCTCAGCTCTGCCAGCGTCAGCCCATGGCCCCGATTCTATAGCTGACAGTTCCCTGACTGCTGTGTCACAGCTGCTCCAGACAGAGAAAATTAACCAGTCCTCTCTACAGCAACCTAATTTTGTCATTGGGCAACAACAGCAGCCGCAACAACCCATAGGTGGGGCCATGCCTCAAAGTACTGCTCAGCCTGTGTTTTCTGGGGCTTCGGTAGCAAATCAGCAAATGATGGTGCCACAGCAATCGCAGCCACAGGTGAATACGCAGGGCGTTGCACAGGCTGGACCCAACGGGAAAGGGATGGCACCTCCAAATGTGACGGTGGGGCAGCCAAACATTCCTGTGGCACAGCAGCAGGTGCAGCAGGCGAACATACCAGTGACTCAGCCTCAGCAATTTGGTTATTCTCAGTCCCAGATTCCACCAGTGCATCTACTGCCGACGCAGCCTTCTGGTCAGACCGAATACATGCAGCACATGACAATTATGCAGTCTCAAGGAGCTATTCAACAGGCTACTGCAGGCTCTGTTCCAAGTACTGTGGCTTCCAGCCTTCCTGTGGGGCAGGTGACCGGCCAAAATCCCTCACCTGTGGGAGCACCAGTGATGGGGGTGTCAGTGCAGCCTGGAGAAGCAGTCGGACAGGGATCGGGATTAATGCAGGGTGGCCAGACACAAGCTAGTCAGACTGCCGTTCCGCAACCAGGAGGTGTGGTGCAGCAAGGCATTGGACATACAGGGGTTGTGCAACAGAAATCTGTGACTCAGCATCAAATGGGTGGAAGCAGTCAAGTGTCCGGAATGCCTGGTGCTCCCCATGCTGCAGTCCCTGGGGTTCAGAACGTGCCTGCGGTTGTGCCCGGTACAAGTGTGCCTAGTGTGTCTACCACCGCTTCTGTTACTATGCCAAATGTCCCTGTTACGCTGGTCCAGTCCCAGCTGACTAGCCACACTTCTGTCAGCGTTGTCCAGCCGCAGCACGTCGGACACTCGTTAATGCAAGGCACGCCTAATGCACCTGCAAGTCTGCCACAGTCAAACCTCGGACAGTTTCAGACTCAAGCTCAGTCCTTAGTAGGCCAGATTGATGATACTAGAAGAAAATCGGAACCCCTACCTCAGCCACCACTTTCTCTTATAGCTGAAAATAAACCTCTTGTGAAGCCTCCCATTCCAGACACTCTAGCGAATCCTCTTCAGTTACCTGCAAGTACTCCTATGAACAGTCTTGCCAGCTCTGTGTTTGGCATATCTATTCCTGTCGATGGTGATGAAGACAGGTATGAATTATTTTATAATGCCATAAAGATACCTTTTCTTAAGGGAGAAAAATTAACTTTCAAGTTATTGTCAAGTGGTTTTTGTAAGTTCATTTTTTCAGAAAATCATAGTGAAACTTTCCTGGGCTACTTTTTTTTTTTTTTGAAGGGTATGAAACATAGCAAAGTGTTCAAGCAAGTAGTGAACTGTACTCGTTCTTCTCAGGCTGTGATTACTTTTCTTACAAAAAAGTGCATTAAGCAGCTTTCAGGCTACTTTCTGCCCAAATAATATGACCTCCTCCAAATCAAAGCCTGAAAACTGTCCTGCACCTAATTGCTCAGTATTCTCTCCTTTCCCCTGATCGAATCCTTAAACCCTGGAATGACAGCCAGGTTACAGTGGGTTTCTCGGCACCACTCTGCTGCAGTTGAGTAGAAGTGTAATGCTATCTCAGGGCCATCAGGTGAGGTATCTTGACAATTTCAAGGCTAATAACGCAGATTCTTGATATTTATCCTGCTGTGGAATTTTCAGGTTATGGTATCAGTTAGTAAGGGAAGTACTTGCATGTGGGTATGAATTTGTGTGCTCTTACACAGCGAAAGCTCTGCAGATAGTGGTCCTTTGCGTTGAACAAAAAGGACACCACTTACTTGGGTGAAGATGTAGACACACTGGAAGGTACAACCTTACAATGAGTTTTCTTTATAGGAAAGTAATTTGGAAGTATTAGTTCTAACAAAGGTGTATAGCGTGAGCAGACTCATTAAACGGCCCGAGAGAGGAAGCGTGTATGTGACTTGTTCCTGTGGACATGTCAAACTGCTACTCTGAAGGGTAGTGTGATGGCTAAAAGCATTCTTACTGACTTCTTTGAGAGAAGACTTTCAGGAAGAGTAGTGTTTGAGCACTGAATTAATGTCATTAATTAATGTTTACTGATGGGATTACTGCAGTTTGGAGGAATGAAATACATGTGGGTTATGGTGTTAGTCCTATTTTTAAAAATACATATTATTAGAAGTTCTGATGTGCTGAATTGTCCTGTGAGCCTTCCCTCGCCTTGGGGGAATACCAGACTTTGATAGAGCACAGTGTTGCTCGGCGTGCCTTTTAGTAAAGCTGCTGCTTATGTGGGGTTAGGGTGTGGTGGATGGGGAAGGTACCTCAAAGACAGGTTAGTGTTTGGAGAGTTCAGTCTGCAGTCACGCGGGCCTCGTGCTCACTGGAGCTTTGGCTAACGCTTTGGAGGAGATAGTAACTCTGCTGACGCCTTTATGCAAGCACAAGCCATGGTGTAGAGAGTTCTGCTAGTTCTGATTAAAGGGGTAAAAGACTGAAAAGGAAAAGTTAAACTGTTAAATTTTCTAGCAGCTGTGCCTACCTTAAGAGGATTGCTAACCCAGCTGACACACTCTTCTTTGTGCAAATAAGGTTAGATTTCAAGCTGGTAGGGGTTTTTTTATAGCTCAGTGTATTATCAGAAGATGATTTGTCTTGTGTTTAATCATTCTGATGAGTAAGGAGTCAGAATGAAAGGAATGTATTTTGCATTCATTTTGCGTATCTTCTGATACTTCGTATTTATATAAATCCTGGTAACAGAATTATTATCTATGGCAAATGAATCATTTTACATGATAAGAAAAAACTTGTCCTACTTATTCAAACCTGTAGGTTGCTAACTCTGTGTTGCACAGGAATGAGACAGTTCTTGTACTCTTACCCTGAGCAGTGATTTTTAAAGTTATTTCCATACATTTGTCTTGAACTTGAGGCACCCTGCAGCATTGCTTCACACAGTGTTCGTTTCTAAAGAAAATTTTTCAGAAGCTTGGCTATGAGAACTCCAAGTAAGAAATCAGAATGGACTCTTAAGAGCACAGTGCTCTGTTTTACATGCCACATGATGATGTTCAGTAGAGAAACTAACTTGTGGTTATCTGAAAAGCAATGCGTACTTCTCAGTTGTCTGCTTCTGCACTGGGTGATAAAACCTTGGTGTCCGCTGAAGTGGTACGCTAAGCAAGGAGCTATATTGTGTAAGATTCTCTCCTGGTTTAGAAGAGCTTGCTTTGGTAGCCATCCTGATGAGCAAGAAAAGTTTACTTTAAACAGGCCTAGACCTCGTACAAAGTAGGAGATACAGTGCTAGCAGGTCTGAGTTTATTCTTTGTTCCTCTCAGACAGTATCCTGACTTCACTGGTCTCAGGCAGAGAGAGGAGAAAATAAAGCCCTAGTGGCTTGTTAAGGCTGTTTTACCACTTTGTTTTTATTTGCTTTATTCACTGAGAAGGCTTTATTATAAAAATGTCTCCTGCTTGCCTGCAGTTCCCTTTTTGCTCCTGCTTTTTCCCCCTTTCCAGCCATTTAAATGATGCTACTGCTTCCATGGCCATATGCCCAGCTGCTTTATCTACTGAAATCAGTGGTGAAATAGTTAATGAAGACCTTCAAGTGTCATTAATAGATTGAGGGTTGACACTGATAAAACTAATAGGGAGCAGAGGGAGTTCACGCATCATGAGTCACTGCTTCAGGCTGCCTGCAGGTTCAGGAAGCTAATGCTTGTCTTTGTTCAGAGGATTTACTTTCTGATCATAAGAGCTAGAAATTTGTGGAAAGCATTTTTCTCTTTTATCTCAATATTAATGTGTAACATACCCAGGAAGGGGGAGGTCAGTGTGTTGGCAGATGTCTACATTTCTTCTGACACCTTCAATTATATTCAAATATTTGTACATACTTGAACCTTGTGTAGATCATTCTCTTATAGTCGTCTTCTAAGATAGTGAATCATCAAGGAATACAGCGTAGCTCAAAATACCCTGGGTTTATCTAGTAAGTCATTCACCATTCTGAATAGGAAGAGGAACTGTTTTAAAGGTAAAATCACTGAGGATGGGAAATATTTGAAAGCAGAATGTGAGAAATACAGTAAGTATGAGACAGAGGTCTGATATAAAAAGTGGATCAGTTCACATCTTTCTGCAAAAAGTTTTTAATGTTATTCCTGTCTTATGGTCTCTTTTAAATCAGACTGTGTCTAAGATAATCAGAGGTGGAGGTGTAAAGCTACATAGCCTGATATATGCATAGATAATATAGAACTGTGTATCTATAGATGTAGAACTGACATTTTTGCAAGATATTGCCTGAAAACCTTTAATTTCCTGTTCTGATAGTCCAGTACACTTTTACAGTAGCCAAGGCAAAACTCTGGTTTCTTACATTGGTGTGATGAAGAATCAATTAATCAAGAAATCTTAACTGGGGGAGGCAGAGAAGGCAGGTAGGTGGTCCAAAATAATTTTTTTTTTTTAAAGAAAAAAAAGTCTTTGGCATGTCGCAACCTTCCTTTAAAAAGCAAAGTTGTTATTTTCAGTTGATGTGTCTAAGTTGCTAAGCTCTTAAAATGAGAAATAAGTTCTGTGGAAGTTATGGAAGTTCTACAGCATAACAGAGTTTTATTTTCTTTTCCTTTCTAAATGTGGCTGCAAGTAGAATAAACTGCAGCAGTATTTGGGGATGGAGGAAATAGTGCTCTTATTGAGGCAGAAGTGAATATTGTAGTCCACTTTGAATTTGGAGTCTGACGTACTGTAAACACACAAGTAGAACTGGATCTCAAAATCGTCCTGACTCTTCGTGTGCTGGACTTCAGCAGCAGTACGCATTGTTTTGGGTGCGGGGCAGTCAGTGTGCCCGAGAGGATTTCAGAATCAGCGTGTGCCAGTTTCCCCGCTCACCTTCATGCCCATGTATACACAAATTTGTATTTGACAAGCATAATATTCCAGCTGCCTTAATAACTTTATTTTGGCTCTTGGGGAAAAAGAAATATGTTGCCTCTGTTAAAAGAATGTGACTGAGAAAGCTTGTTCAAACCTCCTACATGTTTGGCAGACTTTTGGGGCAAAATATTACTAGGCATGTTGGAAAAGGAGCAGCGTATAGATCATTTTCCAGAGATAGCTGACCAGTGTGAACTGTGCGGGCGGTATTCCAGGAACTCGAATGAATGGCTGCGATTGTGAACTGTCAGCTACAGCAGCTGAACTGTTGAAAACCTGATTGTGCAGACCTCTTCACAGCATATATCTCTTCGCTCAGCTGAATCACGTATTTGTATAGCATGCTAACTGTTGATAAATCTGAGCTCTGGAGACCATGTTCATAGTATAAGGCCAAACTGGGCATCGGCATTGATGTGGCTGTGGTAAGGGTTTCTGTACGTATTGCCCTGGATGCATGCTTTATTGTACTCCTAAATAAGAAGTATTCTGCAAATAGGTACCAGAAAGCAGTACCGGAATTACATTATCATTGAATATTGTCCTTTTCGTCACTTTGCTCGTAAATTTACTAGAGATTTGAGCTCTGCTGCAGCTGTGGACTTGAATGTTTTCAGCTCTCCTCCTGAAGAATTGTGTTTCAGTGTTTGTAAAAGCAGGTGAGAACGAACCACGGACAGACATGCTCCAGAGCCGTGGGTGCCTTCCGTTCGACAGCTAGAGCTACGGCATTTGAAGAGCAGTGGAGATAGCACTTCCGAGACGAACATTACAGTGGGGGACATCCAATGACGGTTAAAGCAAACAAGGCTCTAGTTAGTTAAAAAACTACATATGGTAACTGCAGCACCACAGCCCTTTCTAGACTGTGGAACACATATCCTCTCATGCATTCAGTGTCTGAGTGTTACCAGGTATCTAGAAGAATGTGGTTGCTCATTTGACAGCGCTGTTTCCCGTTTAAACCGTCAAATGCCTTCCTTAAGGAGGAGTCAGTCCATTAAAATTAATGGGTATAGGTGTTTCAGATGGGATAGTTACTAAAGGGAGGAAAGGGGAAAATCTTGAAAGAAGCTCACAAAGTGGAACAGTTCCATTTGTTTTGAAGACTGTAGCGTACCAGCTCTGACATAATGGTTCTCTGTACCTCGCACTCCTGAGTGTTCGGCTCAGTTTCTGTGGGTTAATTTTTTTCTGCTGCCCTATAGAAGAGTGCAAGTGT